CGAAAAAAAAAAATACAAAACAATACCACTTGAGATATTACTGCTTATTTTCCTACCCTCTACGTCGCCACCTCGAGTCGTGTGTTGTTGTTTTTTTTCTCGTTCCGGACAATCCGTGTGTTTTAATACTTATAACGTTTTCGTTTTGTCCGACTCGGATGGATTTTGTCCCTTTCTGCCCGTTCGACCGACGACGCAAACATTTATCCAGCGATTCGTAATCATTTCTAATCAAACGTGGTAGAAATAAGAAGAGACCTTCAACCGAACGCGCTAATGGTCGCGGAAATACCAGTGCAATAACAACAATGCAAGCCACGTCAGGGCAAAGGGTTGTTAAAATGTTATATTGTTTTGTTTTGCATAAATGTCCAACGAATGGTCAAGACAGACCGAAGGTATTGCGGATTGGAAGAAACATTGTTGCCAAAAATCGACAATTTATTACTCATATTTATTCATTTATTTTGGCCAGATAACCCATATAAACTAAACAAATTAGATTACAGAGGAGTCTCGGTAAATGATGACAACCAAGTGGGTAAATGAATGCCACTATTGCACTTATGTTTACATTTTTGAAGTGTGGCGAATTTTAATATTTTACCCAACCCGCTTGGTTACAGTTATTCCCAACGCTTCAAGCATAGTATTGATATTGCAGATTGCTAGCATCATTCACAGCGTTGTAACGACAAAAATGTCTTGCATCTTCTAATTGACACCATTGTCAAGTATAGAGCATATTATACTTGCAATATTTGCTACTAAGTCAGAACGACTCGTCTTTGTTTGGCAGCAACTATATTAATATCGAAAAAACAAAAAATCGGATTTTTCATTCAACGTCGAATGTAAGTAGTCTAGAAACAATACGCTGGACATGTTTATTTTCGCGCCCATCCGAGTGAACCGAAATTAATATTGTTTTTAGGCATTTATTTCATTGTTTTCTCCGGGACCCATGTGAAGTCACCGTGTACCGAGACCCACAGACTAGTGTACCGCACCCACCCACAAGGTATTGCATGTATATTGTGTTTGTCATCATACATCATAATCAACCCCCGGAACGGCGATCAATGGACGACCGCAAAAATACTGACGTATATCCTCGGTGGTGGCGAACAACGGTGGTTTTTTTTTTCGCTCTCCCCTCGAAAATATTATACAATAATAATAATATATATATATATATATTCGCATAAGGTCCTCGGGCTAGGTTAGGCAACTGCCGTCATACTTTAAACGAAAAATAATAATAACAGTTAATAAAAGGGTAGATGGTCGTCCGGAAGTAGATAGAAAAACGTCTTGTCACGGTGTACAATATTTTGGTATAATTTTCCAAGTATGTTGTTTTAACGGCAGCGGTGGTTCTCTTGGTGTTTTTTTATGTGCGCCGAACAAAAAATCTGGACATTCTATTTATTCTGACCGTTGTTATACAGTCGACCCCGTCCCCGAACCGTGGCCGCATATTGGACCGTTTATATTTATGCATAATATATTATATATATAAACGTTTGTCGTGTATATGTAAAATTATTAACATTTTATAATAAATATATTTCATTTTATAGTTGTTGTCCCTCTCACCTCCTCCTCCTCCTCTCTCCTAAACGTATGCGTTCGACCGTCATAAAAACAGGGTCACGACGATGATTTATATTTAATAATATACCGTCTACAATAATAGTAATTATATTAGAGCCAGTGTTATTGCCGTACATTATCTAGTCGTGTAAACATTTGACAACGCACAAATCACAATCACACTAATTAACGGTGACACAAACCAGCAGAGAGGTAAATGTGTGTATGTCTGTGTGTGTGTGTGCGGTATTTGTATTCCCAGCTCAATTTCATTTGGCCAAAACGAACCAAACGTTTACACGGCCAGCGCCGGCGGGTAAACCCTAAAATTACTTTTTATAATACTTGCAACCTAAACCAGGTCGCCCCGACTAATGTGGAAAAATGTGAAAAACATTTGTTCCCCCTGAGTTTATGTAATCATTAATGTAATTATTGTTAAATTTCCTGCGAGCTCCGTTGACACGCGAGACCGGCGATTGTCCGAATTGAGGTCCAAACAATTAAACGGTCCTGTGGACATATTATTTTGTGATACCTATCCACATAAGTATATATTTTGTAAATACAAAACCTCGGGTGTGTAAACAAGCTGTATTAGATAGATAACTACTTGTATCATATGTGTGTTCATTTCTAGTGTACTCTTTAGGTAAGCAACAAATACAATTTCAGATACACGTTTTATATTTGTTGAATTTTGTGACAATATTATCTATTTAGTGATTGTAACATTTTAGTGTATTAAATTTGTAAACAACTAGTTTATATATTACAGATACTATCAATCGTACCGCAGGGTTTACATTACATTTTCTAAGGACAGTCCTTAAAACACCGGATAAATAATTATGCATTACGCTTATTTTATACAAATAAAAAGAGACCGACATTATGTTACTCGGTTTTATTCATCTGAAGTATAATATTAACGTTAATAACCGTTTATGGTGAAAAAAAAAAATAACAGTATGTCATGTTTGACATAAAAACATTTTTTACGTGTTTGATGCTGTACAAATATAGTTATTAAATTATAAGTCAATAAGGTTTTTTTTAGGTTGGGGGGGGGGTGAATTTCCCTATGGCTTATATATGTACATGGCTAATTTATGTACACATCCAATAAACATACTTTTACGAGCGGTAATTTGTAGAGCAAATCTGAACCGTGTGTATAAACTATTAACATTCAAACATTCAAAAAAAAAAAATATGAAAATACAATCATTGTAACTTTGCAAGATTTAAAGAGCTAAACCATATCTCGTGAATACTTGTGTTGTGTTAAAACAACGAATATGTTTAACCATCGGACGCCGTAGGAGCGAGCGATAGCTAGACGAAGACTACTATACATTTTTGTGTAAAATATATTTAAAAAAAGAATCTAAAGTCGATGCACAACAGCTGTATTACAATCCGATAGTTTTTTACATAATAGCAAGCACTTCAGTCAGGCTTAATGTATGCTGGTTATTTTTATGCGCGTCGATTGCCATGTTCACAGTGTGTTTTTAATAAATCTATTTGGCGTTACATCATAAATATATATATATATATATATATATATATATATATATACATTTTTTAGCCGATATTTTTCTAATCGTCACTTTAACAAACATTTGACGCGATTGCGTCTGACAGGTCGTCGATTCTGATGTATCTCTATCCCTCTCTCTTCTCTCTCTGTCTTTGCTGTCCGAAAGACGAATAACAGAATTTCTCGAATAAAACCAACGAAACGACAACAATGATTTTCTGTAATAAATTGTCTACAAAATATATTATTTAAAACGCAGTTGAACTTTGATGAATTGCTGTTTAATAATTGACTAAATATTGGAGGTACTTGTTTGTATTTGCTATGCTATTATTGCATTATTTTAACAAGTGAACAAACCCTTTTCATTATAACGGCTAGTGTTAAAAATAACCCTCTTAAATGTACAATCTAACATGAAATACGGTAGAACGAAAATAAATTTCAAGACAAACAATTTAATTTAATACACAGAAGCCGAAATTACCAGAATATTCGATGCGAGCAGTGAAATTCTATGGTTTATTAAGATCTTTGGAAATAGGGTTGTTTATTTGACATGGTATTGTTATTAAAGCCGGTCCGAGTATTAATAGCATCTCTTTGTGTAACGCTGCAATCCAATTACAAGCTTCCAATTAATAATCTCATCGTTTTTTTTTTTTAATAATTTATTTCAGTCGTCTTCGAACGGTATTTAATTCATAAGAAAAAAAGTAAAATTGGCAGCAATACGTTCTTTAATTTTCAAAAATACCGGCTCCCGATTTGATATTTATAAATAATAGACAGCCACAAAAAAACATTATTAAGACGGTCACAGTTGACTGAATATTTTTTTTTGTCAGTTGAATTTTCATGACATGTGTAAGGCAAAAGAGGGATTGTTAAACACAAATAAACACATTAGGTAAATCTTAATACATATTAGGTATGTCATCAGACTAACACGATTTAATGTAATTGATATTATCAACAGGTATCAATGGGTTAATACTTTTACACTGATTTTCTTAGTTATTGTTGTAATTTGTTAATGATATTGTAAGACCAGAAGGATATATAAATGATTTTTTTTTTTTTTTAAATAGTACATGAGTGTAAAATTAATACCTATTTTTCAGTGATATTTTTTATAGTTATTTGTTCAATGTAAATCTTTTTAGAAACCGATGACAAATCATTTAATTGGAAACATAATACAGAAAAATAAGTTTTATTGGAAATTGTCTGGTCAGAAACTCATTAAAAAAGGTACTTGACCTGTATGTTCTCACCTGTTTGGTAATGTAATAATAATTGACAGGTCAAGTAGAATAGGGTGTTAAGTGACATTTTCAGAAACGTTGAGGAGAAGTTAACAATAAATTTAATCGGTCTAACACTTTGCTAATTAACATATTTTACTATTGTACTTTAATAAAAATATATATTCTTTTAAATTGTCGCCTACACCTTATCCACTTGACCCTTAAATAATTTGGGGCCTTAAAACCATGGGGTACAAGTAGTTTCACAGGGAACCTGTATTAAATAAACCTTAGCTAATAAGCCAAGGACACTTGGACTTTTCTAAGCATTTCAATTATTTATAAATAGCCTAGATCGAAACTCACCGGTGCCAACAACTTTTGTAACTCGTCAAAAGTTGCTGTCCCCGGAGACCACTCTAGCTCGTCGTAACTCGTGAGCGGTGGCGGCGGCGAACCGGCGGAATTGAAATCTCCGGAGGAATCGGTCACACACGCACGTGTCGGTTGGCCGCCGCCGCGATGTCCCGAAGGCGTGCCAGGTACACGATCGGCTCGACTACAAACTTACTACGAGTCGGCCGATAAGAACATAAAAAACCACGTACCTCGTTTGTTGTGCACGTTGGACGACGTAACAGCTCGGCCGGCCGGCGGCGCGGTCGTGACGCACAACAGCAGGACACCCAGCCGCACGTACGACGACAGCATGGCTCATTTGCAGCGCACATGACCGCCGACCACCATCGTTGACGTTGGCACGCGTCGTCGATACCTCACCGGGCGCGGTTATCATACGCCGTCACCGCACGTACCGCACCACATACGTACCATCGTGTAGCCGACGGCGGCCGCGGATCGTACGGGTCCCCCCTTAGCCCCGCGAGTGACCGTATGACTCGTGTACGCGTAAAAAAAAAAATTAATAACGATAATAATAAATAATTGCGGTGCGGTGGTTTTTTTTTTTTTTTACTATTTTTTTTTTTTTTTTTTTACAACGAAAATATGTTAATTTTTTTTTCGCTTACGTTCAAAAAACAAAAATTATTTCGAGTCTGTAACGTAATACCGCGGAAGTGATTGGGACGGCGCGGCAACACAGCAGCGATGCACAGCGTACGGTTCGCCGATCTGCGTCTGCAAACGTTAGCGGCAGCGGCGGCGACCGTTCCGTTAAGCGACAGGGGGATACGCCGGCTGTGCCGGGTCATGCGCTATAGCCGCCCCTGGCGCCTAGGGATAGGGGAAAGCTGCCGGTTTTAGCCGCCGGGACGCAGCACCGTCTCGTCGACCCGGCGTTGCTACTCTGCGGCGGTGGCGGCGGCACAACCGGCGTGTGCGTCATTGCCGCTGACGCCGCCGAGCACCTGGCTCCCAACGGCGAACGGGTGACGGCAAGGGATGCGATCGCCACCGTCGGCCTTTATTCGCACTCGACCTATTTTAGCGGCCTCTCCCTCCTTCCCCGCCCTATCATTTTCTCTCTCTCTCTCTCTCTCCCTCGTCAACATCATCTCTGTACAATATAATAATAATAATAATAATAACAAACTCGGTACGACTCACGGCGGCCGCTTTTCGCTCTCTCACTCTCCGCTGCGTGTACCGGCGGCCAATCGGTGTTTTCCCATAACAATGGTACGGCCGCCACGGACTAGCGTACATCATATACGCGCGCGACAATGATACGCTTTGCCAACACTGTCGGTGCGAGTACTGCAGACACCCTCCGCTCGTTCGACTGTATGCGTTCAACAGCGACACAACAACAGCACTCACATAGTCACTTCTCTACGTACAGAGACATACACACCCACACACTTCTCGGCTAAAACCTCATCGTCGCTCAACCTCATCATCGCTCCTCTCCCCCCCCCCTTCCATTCGTTCTTCGGCACTGCAACTGCAACGAAACACGGCGGCCTGGGCGCAATAAAAAGTACAATCGTTGCCAGATAACTTGGCACAGCACCGGCGGCGCGAAAACGCAAAACCAGAGGTTCTCTGTGTTTTACGGTTTGTTTACTATCTATCCGCCTCTGTCTATCTGTTTATTTATAAAATTTCAATAAACACCTGAAAGTATATTGGTTTTGCAATGATATGTTTGAAGCAATTCACTTTTAAGGGTTACGGAAATAGTAATTTAGTAAAGAGCAAAAGATAGAAAAATGTTTGACATAAATTACTCTAGGAGCCAATTTATGTGCCAAACGTAAGTGTAAACGAATATTAAGTTTTTCTAGTTGCCCAGATTTTAGTTTTTTTTTTCCGAGTAGGTATTATGGCAAAAGTTTGATACAAAAATTACTGTTGTAGAAGTATTTCTACCGTATCTTTTAAACGGATATCATTTTTTATTTTTTTTTATTTTATGAGAAGTTTATGACTTTCTCTATGGGAGCTAAAAGGCCGATTTTTGGTGTAATTAATTGGAAAATGACTTCCTAGTTGCGTTTAAGTCTTACGTTCTTGGGCAACATTTGGGGAGGGGGAGGATTGGATGTGCTTAGCACCCCCAATTTTGACACAAGCAACCCCAAATTTGTCTACGTTACATGCATTAAGTTACATCAAAGGTAGTCCCGCAGGTCAAATTTACATAATATTACATTTACAATTTCTATATAAACGCTGCTAATAACACCATTATTTTTACACAATACTTTTGACCTTTGGTATTTCATATGAGTCATAACATATGACAAATTTAAGTAAATAAAAGAGTGAACAAAAAATAAGCAAATGTGATATACAATGTACTAAACATATATAAAATGGTTTTAGATTATGTATAACATAATATCCGAAAAATTACATTAAACCCAAATTTAAAATATACATTAAAATGTATAGACAATAAAATGGATTTAGTATAATACTTGTCTGTGGTAAGAAATACAATTTGTATCCATAACATGTCTATTATTCTTTTTTCCAATTTTTATTTTAAAATCATCACATACGATTTATTATTGTGGGACAATATATTACTTCTCAATACTAGGTACATGTTATGCTATGCATGTAGAAAAAAAACCACAGCGATTTGAAAAAATTAAGTGGCTCTCTTGTACATTTTTTTTTGTGGCGTGCAGAATTTGGCTAAATGTACTTTATAATGTAAAGAAAAAAACCTAATTTGTTATCATTTTGAAATTGTATTTTACAGCTGTGGTTGGCCAAATAGTATATTTTTTTTGGTTAAGAACTTTTACTTTACGAAACTCTTTTACCTATCACTGTCTCGGGTGCATTTGTCTAAAGCCGTTTTTTCCATTTCTTCCATATTTTTATGCGTTTTTTACTTTTAATAATCATCGATTTTTTTTCTCCTTTAGATCGAAGCCAGTTTTCTGAAAAAGATTACTTTTTTCCTTTCCGTATCTCCTCCTCGCTTTCCATTACCCATTCACGTCTGCCAACTCTCATAATTTCTTTTCGTCTTCTTCTCTTGTGGTTACGATCAATTGCCCGTGTCAAAGACAGGGTCGCAAATCGTTCGCAGTATCTTGTTTTCAAAGGACTTTGTTCTATTATTGTTGTGATAAGCCATATTTCATAGCTAGGGGGTAATTGTGTTACCACTTAAAATATTCCTTTGCTAACTATTTCTATGCTGCAACCTCCAATCATTCTTGTAGTTTGATCAGACATAATAAGATATTCTAACGAACGCTTGTTATATTATTATTATTATTTTGATCAGACTAAACATTTCTCTGGAGAAGTATAGATTTGTAATTTAATACCCTATCCTCACCCGTATTGAACTGTTCAAATTATTTGTTTACACAAAACGTAAACATTTTTCAAAAAACTAACAAAAAACAGATCAAAAATATATATTTTTCGTTAAACCCGTCCGTTAAAAGTTAAAACTTTTATGCAAAGCATTAGAATTTAATAAAAACTTTTAATTAAGGGTAATTTGCGTTCTATAACAAAAAAAAAAAAAGAAAACAACGTTTCACTTAAATTTCACCGAACCCTTCAAACCGTGCAAACTTACCGACGTAGTAAGAAAAGTAATACCATATTGGTGTAACAAATTACCTTTGCGGGACGAATGCCGTTTGGTGCGTTAGCGGTAAATGTATAGTACTTTAAAATCAAGCAAAAAGTTTTAAAATTATACACCAAAATGTAACTGAGAAATGCCGTCGAAGCGCATTATTCGTCAAGACGTGTAAGTTCATATCTGTTAATGTTTTCCGCATTGTTCTCGGCGAGTTGTGAGAAGACTTGGCAAAAGTGTTGGCAGTTCGCACGCAAAAAACAACTTTTTGTCATTACAACCGGAATTTGTTGTTTGTAAGTTTTGAACTTGCTTATCCAGAATGATGAATTCGTCGGCCGTCATTCGATTACACGCCGGCAACGCGGCTGGTTTACTTATACAGCACACATTTTCTTTTGGCCAACGCGATGATGTATAAATATTATTTCAAGTCGGCCGCCAGATTTTCCATCATCTCAAAAGTAATTTCGTTATCCCCGTCAAATGAGCGACAAGAGACCTGATTACGCTTTCAATGTATACAATATCCAAAGGCTAAAAAAAAAATCAACGGTGATATTTTCCGTGACATTCCGACAACTTTAAAATACACTACCCGTCTAAGGCCCGCAGACTACGGTTTTCAGAGTTTATTCAATTAACTAATTTGTTATTTTCCATCCGATCCTCCTCTTTTTTATAATTATACCTATAGATTTTTTTTAACGAAAAAAATGATTAAAATTACTTCTTTTATGTGAACAATGTTTAAATCCGTTCACGGTTTTCAATATCGACGACGACGACGACAATCAACGTACGTGTGTGGTGCTAAATGACAATGTGTGCAGCAGACAAAGGTTAACGTTAGTATTTATAGATACACAATATTTATGTATAATATCCATTGTTTCACCTAAGTAGGATATTTTAGAATAATACAAATCGTTAAAAATAAAAGTAAGGCGTGCAGAAATACATTTATAAGTGATATTATTGTGAGGTAAATATGTAAGGTTGTAACGATTGAACGTTATACATACGTTGTTTGGTAATTTCTTAGACTACATACGTTCTAAATTTTATATCATAATTACATGATCTTTGAAAAATTAGCCGCAAAATAAAATGCGGTCGGTTCAGTTGGAAAGAGTCGAATGTTGTGTGATCATAAGGCGTCGGTTAGGGTATAAGGAAATTATTATAGAACTATAGTTAAGCAAGCAATGGTGTAAATGTTAAAAGAGGGGCTGAAATGAGAATGTTGAGAATGGGTGAAACGACTAGGTTAAATTGAATCAGTGTTTTAATTATCTTCACACTGTTGGGACGGGGACTTAGCCTCATAGACACTGTAATACCGAAGAAAACTATGTAATTGTTCGTAGATAACGATCGAGAGAGAGGAAAGTATGGTCAATCCCATAAGTTAGGATAAGGCGAAGAAGTCTGTAAGTTTGTAATGCAAATTCCAATATGTTGATATTTTATCTTAACAATCTGATCAAATTAATTAACAATAAAGTGGTTTTAAGGTGGGTTTTTTTTATTTCTTTTGATACCGATATGATCAGTTTAGATACCGTTTGAAAATAATCGTTTATTTTCGATGGGCATTTGGCTAGCTCGCTTTTATATCGCTTATTTCAATAGGCCCTTTGATGCGCTCTAAAAAGTTTATCGTTATTTTTACACTCCTTCGGATTAAATGAGTAAAGTTTTCGAAAAAAGCGCGCGGTCTAAGGACAATTTGACATCATTAAAGTAGATACGACGTGCAAAGTTTCAGGAAAGAAGAAGTGCATATTATATATTGCGTACATAAAAGCTTTTAAATTAAAAAGCAAAACCGTAATTGCTGTAGGTACTATATTATTTGGAAATATTTATATATTCCTGATTTAAAAACCTCGGACTGCTGGTGTGTATACTAAGATCATAATTTACTAAAAGAAACTCGGTCGGGCACTTTATTACTCGCTTGTTTATTGTTTTCACTGTCGATTATATCCGAAGAGTGTGTAATAAAATGCGACAACGCCAGAAATTGTTTAGCCAGACCAAGTTAATCGCATTAATTTCAAAAATGAAAATCGTTAAATATTTTTGATACT